CCCCTCGATCACATCCCATCAATCTCACCCCATCCCATCAATCCCAGCCCATCCCATCAATCCCAGCCCATCCCATCATTCCCAGCCCATCCCAGGGGATGCTCCAGCAGCGTTTGGGGTCCTGGGGGTCTCCAGAGCCCTGGGTGGGAGGTAGGGGGGGGTCTCCAGCTCCAAGGGGGTGAAAAGGCAGGGGGAGACCCTCAAACCCCTCCCACGGGACACCCACTGATGCCATCCCATCCATCCCATCCCATCCCATCCCATCCCATCCCATCCCATCCCATCCCTTCCCATCCCATCCCATCCCTCCCAGGGACCGTGTCCCTCCATCCCAGGGGATATTCCAGGCTCAGCGATTCCCGGAGTGCTCCGGATCCCCCCTCCTTCCCCTCCCCTCCCCGAGGTGAGGGGGGGGGGGACTGAGGGAACGCTTAATTCGGGGCTTTATCCACAAACACTCCCGGGCTAAAAATATCCCCGAGGCCGCGGGCAGCGCCTGCCGGGAGCTTCCTTGCCTTTTTTGACGGGATCGGGAGCGGGGCTGGAGCAGGGACAGAGCCCGGAGATCCCGGGGACGGGCAGGATCCCCCTCATCCCCGGGGAATCCAGATCCTGGGGGATCCAGATCCCGGGGGATCCAGAGGATCCAGCTCCTGGAGACACAGATCCCGGGGGGACCCGGCTCCTGAGGTATCCAGATCCTGGGGGATCCAGCTCCTGGGATATTCAGATCCCGAGGGATCCAGATCCCCGAGGGATCCAGTTTGGGACCACCCCTTGAGGTGTCACGGCCAGCTGGGTACAAGGGACCCCTCGGGAATGTTTGGGACCCCTCGGGAATGTTTGGGACCCCTCAGGAAGCATTGGGAACCCTTGGAAAGGTTGGGGACCCCTCGGGAATGTTTGGGACCCCTCGGGAGGGTTGGGACCCCTCGGGAATATTTGGGGACCCCTCTGGAAAATCTGGAACCCCTCTGGAAGGGTTGGGACTCCTCTGGAAGGGTTGGGGACCCTTGGGAATGTTTGGGACCCCTCGGGAAGGATTGGGGGACCCCTCTGGAGAATCTGGAACCCCTCTGGAATGTTTGGGACCCCTCCGGAAGGGTTGGGAATGTTTGGGACTCCTCGGGAGGGTTCGGGACCCCTCAGGAAGGTGGGTCGTCCCCCCCCCCGGTGGGGGTCCCCAGTGACGTCTCCCCGACCCGGTCGTGGGTGGGTTGTTTGACCTCCCGCCCGGGGAGGGATCGGTTGAGTTTCCTCTCGCGGACAGATGAGTTCCCTCCTCTGACGACGGACGGGGGGCCGGGCACGGCCCGGGAGGGGCAGGAGGCCGCTGCCCACGGGCCCCGAGTGGGCACAGGCGGCTGCCCACCCGCCCCCCGAGCCGGTGAGCGGGGGGCACGCGGGTGGGATTTGGGGTTGGGGGTGGAGGGGTTTGGCCTGGGGGTGGGGTGGGAGGTGATGGGGCAGCCGGGAAAGGGAATGCCGGCACCGGGAGCACCCCTGGGTGGGTTTGGGGAACCCCTGGGTGGGTTTGGGGAACCCCAGGGTGGGTTTGGGGAACCCCTGGGTGGATTTGGGGTATCCCAGGGTGAATTTGGGGAACCCCAGGGTGGGTTTGGGGCATCCCATGGTGAGTTTGGGGAACCCCAGGGTGAGTTTGGGGCATCCCAGGGTGGGTTTTGGGTACCCCAGGGTGGGTTTTGGGTACCCCAGGGTGAGTTTGGGGCATCCCAGGGTGGGTTTTGGGTACCCCAGGGTGGGTTTGGGGTACCCCAGGGTGGGTTTTGGGTACCCCAGAGTGGGTTTGGGGTCCCTCCCTCCCCGGGGCAGGAGGTGGAGGAGCCCCCCGTGACTCTCCTGTGTGTCCCCCCTCCACTCAGAGAGCCCCGCGACCCCCCCGGCCATGGAGGGACCCTCATTGCTCAGCCCCCCCCACCCGTGGGAGAAGCGCCGTGCGTGGGTCCCGCAGAGTCGGGGCTGGAGGGTCCCCCCACCCCCCCGGCGCGAGGAAGAGGAGGAGGAGGAGGAGGAAGGGGCGATCACTCCCACGCGGGACCCCCCTTGGCACAGAGGGGGGGACACAGCATGGCCTCGGGTGTCCCCCCCCCTGTCCCCCCCCGTGTCCCCCCCCGTGTCCCCTCCAGGTAGGGACGGGAGGGGTCTCCTCTTGGGGGGGGGGGTGTGTGTCGGGTGAGCCCCGTGGGACCCCCCTGAGGTGTCCCGTGTGTCCCCCCCCCCCCCACGCCCCGCAGCCTCCCGTGGGTGCCGGGCTGGGGCCCCTGGGACGCCGAGGAGATCCTGTCCGACCTGGGCTTCGTGGGCAGCGACCCGGGGGGCGCCTCGCGTGTCCCCCCACGCTTCTTCTCCGCCCCCTCCCGCGCCCACGGCATCGACTTCCAGCTCTTCCTGCGCTCCCAAGAGCGGCGTCTGGAGATGGAGGATCCCGGCCTGCTGCTGGCCGGTGCGTCACGCGTGGGGGACCCACGAGAACCCCCCCCCGAACCCCTCACCCCCCCCTCCAGACCCATCAACCCCCTCACCCCCCCCGGGGCTGGATCCTCTTTGGGGGAGAAAGTGGGAAAACCCCCCCGTGCCTCAGTTTCCCCAGGAATGAGCGCGTGGGGGAAG